GGGTCCTTCCCTGTGGGAATGGGGGTTTGGGATGGGCTTCGGGATCAGGTCCTTCCCTGTGGGAATGGGGGTTTGGGATGGGTGCTCCGGGATCGGCCCCTTCCCTGTGGGAATGGGGGTTTGGGTTGGGCTTCGGGATTGGGTCCTTCCCTGTGGGAATGGGGGTTTGGGATGGGTGCTCCGGGATCGGGTCTTTTCCTGTGGGAATGGGGGTTTGGGATGGGTGCTCTGGGATCTGCTCTGTTCTCTGTGGGGATATCCTGGGATCTGCCCCTTCCCTGGGGGAACAGGGATTGGGATGGGGGAGTTGGGATGTGCCCCATTCCCTATGGGAGCAGGGATTTGGGATGGCCACTCCAGGATCGGCCCCATTCCCTGTGGGGATATCCTGGGATCTGTCCTGTTCCCTGTGGGAGCAGGGATTTGGGATGGAGGTGTTGGGATGTGCCCCATTTCCTGTGGGAACAGGATGTTTGGGATGGGATAGGGGCGTTGGGTGGTGGCATCTCCCCATCTTTGGGGTCGCTGTGGGAGGAGCAATTATCCAATGGGGAATTCTCTCCAGGGGTATGTATGGGGTTATCTATTCCCTTGGGCAGTGTGTGGGGTTATCCAAGCAGGAATTCCCTGCTCCAGTCAGTGTGTGGGGTTATCCCATGGGAATTCTCTCGGGCAGTGTGTGGGGTTATCCCAGGCAGTGTGTGGGGTTATCCCGGGCAGTGTGTGGGGTTATCCCACAGGAATTCTCTCAAGCAGTATGTGGGATTATCCCATGGGAATTCTCCCGGGCAGTGTCTGGGGTTATCCCAGGCAGTGTGTGGGGTTATCCCGGGCAGTGTGTGGGGTTATCCCGGGCTGTGTGTTCAGTTATCCCGGGCAGTGTGTGGGGTTTATCCCACGGGAATTCTCCCGGGCAGTGTGGGGGTTATCCCGGGCAGCGTGTGGGGTTATCCTGGGCAGTGTGTTCAGTTATCCCAGGCAGCGTGTGGGGTTATCCTGGGCAGTGTGTGCAGTTATCCCAGGCAGTGTTTGGGGTTATCCTGGGCAACGTGTGCGGTTATCCCACGGGAATTCTCCCGGGCAGTGTGCGGGCAGTCCACGGGCGGCGTGGAGGACGAGGGCGAGTCGCAGGCGGGCTGGATCGAGGGCGCTGCCATCCTGTTCTCCGTCATCATCGTGGTGCTGGTGACGGCCTTCAACGACTGGAGCAAGGAGAAGCAGTTCCGGGGCCTCCAGAGCCGCATCGAGCAGGAGCAGAAGTTCACGGTGATCCGCAAGGGCCAGGTGATCCAGATCCCCGTGGCCGAGATCGTGGTGGGGGACATCGCCCAGATCAAGTACGGTGAGTGGAGCTGGGGCTGTCCCTCCCCTGGATCCCCCTCTAACGCAGCTGCGGTGTCCTGGATCGCTCTGGGATGGTGGGCACAGCCTGTCCTGGGTCCCAGCCGTGGGCAAGCTTAGCGAGCAGCTCTTGAAGTGATTTCAGCTCCTTGGTGAATTCATCTCTGGTGATTTCAGCTCCTTGGTGAATTCATCTCTTTGGTAAATTCAGCTCCTTGGTGAATTCATCTCTTTGGTAAATTCAGCTCTTTGGTAAATTCATCTCTGATGATTTCAGCTCCTTGGTGAATTCATCTCTTTGGTAAATTCAGCTCCTTGGTGAATTCAGCTCTGAAGTGATTTCAGCTTCTTGGTGCATTCAGCTCTTTGGTGAATTCATCTCTTAAGTGATTTCAGCTCCTTGGTGAATTCAGCTCTCTGGTGATTTCATCAGCTCTTTGGTTAATTCATCTCTTAAGTGATTTCAGCTCTTTGGTAAATTCAGCTCTTTGGTGATTTAAGCAGTTCAGTGATTTCAGCTCTTTGGTGAATTCATCTCTTAAGTGATTCCAGCTCCTTGGTGAATTCAGCTCTGAAGTCATTTCATCTCTTTGGTAAATCCAGCTCTTAGTGATTTCAGCTCTGGTGAATTCAGCTCTGTGG